GTGTCCAGAGTTGACTGCATCCGAAGCCCGGAGCAAGCAGCGGCCCTTGCGAGACCCACGGCCGGGCGAGCGGGCGCTGCCGGCCCCCGGCTGCAGCACAAACCCCCCACGTTCTGCTTGAATCGAGCTCAACTGACACAAACTTCCTTAAAGACGTGACAGCTCCATTGCTCAAGCGAACATGCCAGCCCTCCTGCCCGCAGCACTCGGCACGTTTGCCAGGCTTGTTGCACATCAAGTTTATTAATCGATGATGACCTTGGCCAGGCGCAGCCGTCTGATGGAGAGGGGAGGCAGAGCAGCCACCGCTCTGGAATAATTGCCGGCTCTCAGGATCGGGCCCCACGCGTGTGAGCTGTGCACGAACAGCAGAACACGCCGGGGAGTTCAAACGAAGGGCAAGGCAAGGATGTCCCTTCAGAAAGGAAATGAAGCAAGGGCAGAAGGAAGAGCAGCTGCAATTCTGCGTGCCGTTGATGGCACACAGAAAATGGCAGGTGAAGACCAAGGCTCTGAAGAGGATTTTTTTTCCTCCTCCCCAGTGGCTCCAGCCCTCCCGCCTGCCATAAATACCCACCAGAACAAGCTGGGAGTTGAAAGGAACCCAGGAACAGTTCTTTTGCTGGAGAAGACAGAGGGAACCCCCTCCTCTGCAGCAGCAGGGCAGGCAGCCGTAAAGCATCAACCAAGCCACCTCTAGAGAGGACACTGCACAGCTCAAGGGGTCAGATAACAGCAAAGACAATCCAAACGGGATTTGTCCCCACGAGGTGAGCAGACACGAGCCGGACCACTGCCTTCATCACGTCAAAGAAAAGAGGGGCAGCAGCTCACGTGGGAGACTGGCAGCACCAGAAGCAGAGCAGTGCAACACCATCGACAGATGATGATCTGAGCCGGCGGGGCAGCAGCACGGGCTCAGCAGGGTGCAGAAGGGGAGACGGCATGGTCAGAGATACCCTGTTCTAGTTCATGGCAAAGCTGCCCCAGAACATCAGTCTTGCACTTCTGCTAGGGATAAAATTGAAGATGGGAGAGAACTAAATCCAGGGAGGAAGAGCAAGCACCAGATCAGCTCAGATCACAGGGAGTTTGGGGCTAAGTTTCCCTCTGCAGGTCTCAGCTGGGGTGTTTGCCAGGCAGGCAGCAGGAGTACAGCATTCACTGTCCTGCCGGACAAGGGGACACATAGTGTGATGTTGCACAGGGTGTTTCATTCTCCTTTTGCTCTCTAAATACAGATTCTTTTCTCCCTCCCTAATTCCTGACACATTTGTTCCAGGCATCTATCCATACCTACAATTATTAGCCACGCCAAAGGGTTTTGGTTAATGCAAATAAAAGGGAAAGATTTTATTCCACCTACAAATCTTCTTTGGCTCACAGCTGTGGGACTGTGGGGTGAAATCCAGCCCTGGAGAAAGCCAGAGAGTGAAAGCCTAGCACCGCTCCTGTGCCAGACACTCCGCAGGATGGATTTGCTGCTGCTGAAAGATGCTCCATGGCCTGGCTTTGATATTCTGCTGGGAGGAAGCATTGCGGGGGAGCGAGATTTTGAGGGGGGGGGATCGTTGGCAGAGGAGAGCAGGGATGGTGCCACGTACCTGGGGTGGCACAGGGACGGGCACACGCAGGCAGGGCTCAGAGTTGCAGCCGCACGAAGTGGGCAGCACGGGTGGGGGCTTCTCCACAAACAGTCAATTTGTCAAAAACAAACGAAATAAGAGTTTCAAGGGTCAGAAGGAATTCATGGCTTCAGGTCAAATTCAGCAAATATTTTTAGCCAGAAGAGGGAGGGTTCTAAACCACCATTTTTAAATAAGATTTTTGTTCTGCAATTGTCTAGATGAGAATTTGTCAGTTCCTTTCCAGCGAGGATGCCTCCATTTCAAAAAGCAGCACAGCAACATCAGAAGGGTTAAGCAACTCAAATAAAAATCTGCCAGGTTGGTCAGGATCACTTTGTTTCACTGAAACCTCCAAACATTGCTGTTTCAGTTTGACTGAAACAATTTTCCTCTTCCCCATGGGATTTTTTTTTTTGGTTCAACCACAGAACTGAAAAATCCATTATTAGCCTGGCTGTAATGCAAACTTCTCCTGCGCACCCGCAGCCTGCAGGCCTGCCCAGCCCCTCAGTGTGCTTAAATAGCCCTGAAATAGTATTAAATAATATGGCACACTCAGTTCTCAATGTCCCTACAGAGGTTTCCACAGGGAGCTGGTGGATGGGACAGGGACACTTGTCTGCTCTGCAACAGCTGCATTATTTATTGTAATTGCTAGACAGGGCTGGGTACAAATAATTTGCTTAAACGTTTACAACTTCACGGCCTGTTATCAGCCTCTGCACTGGTCTCCAGAATGAGTGTTTTAGCGAGAAAGAAACTTTTCCTAAGCTCGCTATTCCTACAAATTGATGACCAGCTTTCCCTTTCCGCAGCGCGACCCTCCTTCCAGAAACGGCCCGTGCACCTACCTAGAGCGGGTGGCTGGACAAGTTCCTTCCCCCTCGCTGCCAGCAGCCCCGTGGAACATCTCAGGAATAACGATGCTGATGAGACAGCTCTAAGCAAGCCTTGGTTGGAAAACCCTGGTGCAGTAGAGAAGTGTTTTGCCAGCATAGTTTTATAACCTCCTCTATCCTCTTTTGATCTTGGCTGTGCAAATAAAAACAGCCTTTCAGTACCAGTCTCTAAATCTCCTGTTGCCGAAGCAATGACCTGTCCATTGCCCTGTCCTTTTAAAGGAGTTTTACTTACTGGTCACCTCTGAGAGCAAGAAAATGGGCCTCAATGCCAAGACCAAGTTTAATCCAAACATCACACTTCAGACCAGCCTGGGATGGGACTCCTTGATCTCCGTTTACAGCTGAAGGGGCTGTGTGCATCCAGCTAGAAAGCGCTCACAGGAATAAAGATGTTTGTGCAAAAGGAATAAAAGATTTGGCCTAAGATGGGGTGGAAAAGCAATGTCGGGAAAGGATCCCGAAGCAAGGCAAAACTGTCCTGGGATTTCATCCCACACCGGTGTATGAACTGACCTCATGGAGAGTCGAGCAAACCTGCTAGAGACCAGGATTGTGAAAAAAAAAAAAAAAAAAAAGGGTGGAGGAAATACTTGCTATTTTGTCAGTTGGCAAAACCACTTCCCTTCTGCAAGCATGTAAATGATCCCCTCAGAGCATTTCTGATCTGCTGCTCTCACCTCGGATTCCAGTGGAGTAGAAAGAAACCGATCTCACAAGGTTCAACTTCCTCTGCCAAGCGCTGCAAAAAGCACTCGGGGTACGAAGGGAGTCAGAACCATGCTTGAATAGCTCGCTTGTGGCGGGGGCTGCGATTAAATTGAAACTTAAAAAAATCCGACCCGCTTCCATAGCTGCTGCTGTGCCGCTAGCCCCCATCCCGAGCAAGCCCCGAACAAACGAGTGGAAGAGGCACCAAGGTGTTATCTGGAGCCAACGTGCATCCCTGAATCCAGGCGGGTGGCTGGGAAGGTCAGCAGCCAGTGTCAGAGATCTCAACTGCTCTGTCCCCGCTCCCTCCTGGGCAGACGGGAGCTGCAGCTTGGTTCTCGCTTACTCTACACCCGTGGAATTTCCACGTTTTGTGCTCCAATGACACACACGGCCACTCAGCGTACATGCATTTCCACTACCAGTTTTTATCATCTGCCTGATGACTAATTGATATTTGCCTAACGTATGGGAGTTCTCCGACACAAGGTGCCAGAACAGGCTGAAGGGGGTTTTTTTAAGTCATTTTAGGGTGAACTCATGGCTCCTGCAAGGGAGATACCAGAGGCGAGCAGAACCTCGGAAAGCTGCAGGTTACACAGTTCAGCTGAGGTCCCTGTGTCAAATCCGCCCCGCTTCCCCACAGCCTCCACTTCCCACCAGTCCCCCGAGGGGTCCTGGACTCCCCAGCGGGGCTCCGGCGACGTCTTCTTCCCGGGAAGGGACGACCGAGACACGAAGGAGACCGAGACTAAGGGACTCAGGTCATTTGTAATGCAAAGCCAGGGGTCTGGTGCACTGAAGCCTAAGGCAGCTGCTGCACCAGCTCACTGGAGCCTGTAAATTATATTCAGTACAGTTTTCCCCACGGTATTGCAACGTCCCATGAATTAGAAGGAAAACAATTTATGTCTTTGATACTGCACTTGGATGAAAGTCTAAACCGTAAAATTCTGAAACCTGACGTATGAATCCTTTCTCCTTCCCTCTTCTCCTTTCACAGTGTATGCACTGAGCTGTCACCCTCTGACATTTACTGAGCTATACGCTCTCTCATGGTAAGCACTCAGAAGGAAAGGGTATGTATACAAGCACTGAAATATGGTTTCAGCGTTTGTAGCTGTAACAAATTGCACTTTTGGTCCATTCATTGTAGCCCTCTAAAAACTTGAAGACAGCCTAGTTAGTTAGACTCTAGTGCTGGCTGTAAACGTGAAGTATGTACAAAGTCACGTTAAGATCTATTTAAGATGACTTTCAGCCTTTCTGGAAGTATCGTGACCTGAGCTCAGGACGAGGCAAGAGCTCTTACAGAACAGCCTGCAAAACTACTTCTCTAATAGGCTGGGAAGTAGGAGAAAGAGTGGTTGCTCCTATATTTAGTTACCTGGGAGATGCTCAGACCCCACAATAATGGGGGCTGTATAAATACCTACATAGATTAGCTACAACTACCCCAAGCACACTACTACATCACTGCATAGCCCTCCCAAGAAACCACTGACCCTCCCAAGACAAACATCCTCAAGAAACTGAGCTCCTGGGATATTTTGAAGTAAGAGGCAGGATACCGAAAGCCTGATGCCAGTCCCGCAGCCAGCGAGCGCAAAACCTCCGTTAATTTTCATCGCCACCTGTGAGCAGCAAACTTCTTACGGCAGCACGAGGGACCAGAGAAGTTCCTGCACGCTAAGGCCAGGAAGGCCACGGTCTGGGCTGTCAAGGAAGGTGGTGGCTACCTGCGTCCGCTCCGGTCTCTTACCTCAGTGGGATCTTAATAGCCAGGTACCTGTCGATGGCCACCGCCAGCAAGCTGAAGATGGAGCTTTGGGTGAGCACCAGCACGAAGCAGGCGAAGAAGAGGCAGCTGTGAAAATCCACCTGGAAGCCGATGCTGATGGTGATGGCGAAAGGGATGGCTAGCAACCCCACGGCGATATCGGCCACCGCCAGGGACACCAGGAAATAGTTGGTCGCGTTCTTCAAGGTACTGTTGATGGCCACGGCCCAGCAGACCAGCACGTTGCCGGCGATGGACAGCACGGCGATGATCAGTTCCAGCACGATATAGGTGGTTTTCATCGTGTCCATGGCGAGAGCCCAGGGCGAGGAGCTAGAACCGTTCATGAGAAAAAGCGACTTTCCACCGGCCCACCGGCCGCAGGTACCAACGGGCCACGGGGCAGCGGCGTTTCCCGGAGAGAAGCACCCATGGCCGGGCTCACCGCCGCCTCCCGCCCGGTCACCGGAGCCGGCTGGGGGGGGACGGGGACCGGAGGGGAGCGGCGAGCCCCGGGT